ATGTGTGCCAATAGCAAAGAGCTTCTTGACCCCATAAAGAATTGCACCCGATCCAAGTAGGTGCCCCCTTTGATAGAGTTGGTATAGATATTGTTGAACCTTTCAAAGATATAACAGAAACTAGAAATTGTTATATCGTAGTGGCTACAAAATATTTAACAAAATGGCCTGAGGCTTATGCGATCTTAAATATGATGGCTCCCACAATAACTCAATTCATTTTTGAAGATATAATTTGCTATCATGGTTGCTTTAAAGTTCTTCTATCCAACTAAGAATGTTCTTTTTGCAATGAAATTATAGAAGCTCTATATAAAATCATGACTGTTCAACATTGCTTGGTCACTGCTCATCATCCACAGATGAATAGATTAACTGAAAGATTTAATAAGACCTTGTGTTCTATATTAGCAAAACTTGTGGATGATTATAAGACGATGTGGGATACCTTATTACTGGCAGCTCTATTTGCATATCAAACGCTTCTAAATCATACCACTAAGTATGATCTCTTTTATTTAATGTACAGATGGCAGACAACAACACCAATAGACCTACAATTACAAGAACAAGAGAAAGAAGAGACTCCAGAAATAGCTTTAGAACAATCATTAGATTTACATATCTATAAGATCACAGACCAATTACATCAGCAAAGAGTTCAGGCCCAACAAAATATTAAAGAAGCTCAATAATGACAAAAAGAACATATGACCTTGATATAAAATCTATTGAATTTAAAATTGGTAATCAAGTCTTGTTGTACAAATCTGCAAAGAAGAAGGTATATAGCAATAAATTAAGAGAAAAATGACAAGGTCTTTACTATATTCATGATTACAGAGCATTGGGAATCTATAAACTATGAACTGAAGAAGGAAAAGTCTTGAAAAACGTAGTAAATACGAATTAGTTGAAAAGATATTATAAGTGATCTGCATGAGAACCAACTATATATTTGTAAAATATTAAAAAAAAAAAAAAAATTTTATGGATTATATTACTCAAAAAACCTAGTGTTACTCAGGGGACTTCGTATTTTAAAAGAGGGAAGTGTAATATAGCTACTTTATTTTTAGACCTAACATTACGCACTACAATGATCACGTGACACCAATGTGCTACAAAGATCACGTGATATTGATAATGACGATTACATCACCCCAGCGAACCCTTCATCCAATAATTATTTAATTTCACTTCATTTTTTATTTTATTTTATTATATAAAACTATCTATTTATTCTATTTATGTATTTAACTATAAGTTATCAAGGTCGCAGTAGTCTAGAATTATCACACATAACGTCATTACGCATACAATCATTATACATAAATCATTATACATATGATCATTATATATACAATCATTATATATGAATCATTTTACATAATATCGTCAGGATAGAATTAACTAAAACTAGAGGTAAAACTAGTCTAATAAATAAACCTCTAAAATAGATAGTGTATTAGTATTAAATTTATATAAAAGCAACAATGAAAAGATCTTGTAGAGGCAGATTTCGAAGCCTCAAAATACTTATCTTTTTTTTGATATTAAGGTGACCTCTTGGTCAGGTCTCTTTTTTATTCAGTTACTGATTAACTTTTTACCGTATGCTAAGCCCCTTCTCGGTGCCCATACAGTATACATATTTTTGAAGAATACATACTAGCCACACGTACAACTTTTGATTGCCTATTTAAGTAGTCCGCTTATTACTAAGTTCTACACTAGATGCTATATTTATAACCCAACTAGGGGTTATCTATTTAAACCCTCTGTGCTATATATAAGTCAATCTATATATAACCGAATTTTTAGGGTATATCCCTTAAGAATCCAGACTTAGAACTTTAAAGCAGGCTTGATCAGCAAACCATTTGTTTTCGAGGTAAACCTGCTAGAGCTTTCTGTATCTACAATCTAGCTAGCCTAGGTATCAATACCTTACGCCCAAGTCTGAGGACAAGGACTTGCGAGCCAAAGCTGCTACTATTACTTACTTCCGCCCTTATAGAGTTCGTTCAAATCCCAGTACACACATTACAGACTATTTACGGTATTTCCAGCTATTCTAAACTACCAATCCAGATGGCCCAGAAGGGCTGTGATCTGCCCTAGTCCCTATAGTTGGGTCCTTTTCCTCCGGTTACTCCCCCGGTGGCCTGGTTGGTGGAGTGCCTTGCCAAACACTCGGTCTCGTTCAGTTTTTGCCAGTTCTTCTGATGATAATCCTTAAAATACTTATCTTAAAAAGCCTTAATAAAAGATTCTCTTAAAAACCCAACAATAAATACCTAAATCAAACTTTTCGATTACAATATATTTTTAGTATTAAAATGAAGTCTTATATTTCAAGTATTTATTTAATTAGTATTATTATATATATATGCTATTATAGTATCAATAATCTAATTTAAACTATAAATATTAAAACAATTTTTATTTTTGGTCTAAGCCTATTAAAACCTTATATATCTTATCTATATCTAATTTGATTTTGTATAGGGAAATGCAAAAAATCACGTAATTTTTTGGGGGAGAGGGTAGCTAATCTATCACATTCTAAGAAAAATAAATTTTGATTGGTTAATATTTATCACAGAAGGGGGAGGAGGTAGACCTTATAGTAAACAGAAATTACGTGATTTACTGTATAGCCTATACTAACTATTGTTAATCTATTTCTAATCTTGTATATTCTTTATATTTCTTATATTAATAACAAAATACTTTCAATTTAGTATTTGGATATACTATAAATCTATTGCAGATCTTATTAAGAAATTAAACAAGCATAATTATATACCATATTTTTACGTAATAATACCTATGAGTGTTATTTCGAATTTTGGTCCAAATTAAGCTTAATTTAGACCAAAATTCAAAATTCTACCCCTGCGCGTTATTATACGAAAATATGGTAATTATTATTATTATTTTTTTTTAACAATCCTGTTTTTATTATTTAAATCAGAAGTAATAAAACTCTACATTTAAATTAAATATAAATTTTTTATACTATATTTCTGTATTACTATATAATTATTTTTAATATTGATATTAGAGTTTTATATAATATTAATTATATGTGTATAAGTTTTGATAATAGATATTTTTTAAATTAGTATATTACAGAATTAGTATTAAACCTTCTAATTAAGTTTTTTATAATTATATTATTTTCAAATTAAAAATATTTTAATTATTCTTGATTTTTTTTTTTTTTTTTTTTTTTTTTTAATATCAAAGTGATTTCATGGTTGGTTGCCTTTATTAGTTTTTGTGCTAAACTGATCAAAGTTAGCCACTACTCATTTTGGTATATAGTTTTAGAGAGTACAACTAGCCACATGTACAACTTTTGATTGTCTATTTAAGTAGTCTGCCCAAAGGTTCTATACTAGATGCTATACCTATAATCCAACTAAAGGATTACCTATTTAAACCCTCTACGCTGCTACATCCTTATAAGAAACCAATACCTGCTATAGAAAGCACCTGATCTAAGGCTAATTAACCCTTGAGATAAACTTGCTAAAGCTTTTTATACCCACAATCTGGCTAATCTAGACTTTGGTAACTTACACCTAAGTCCAAGAACAAGAACTTGTGAGCTGAGGCCGCTGCTATTATCTACTTCTGCTCTTGTAGAGTTCACCTAAACCCCAATATACACTTTACAAACTATCACTGATTTTAATTCCAACAATTCCAAACTACCAATCCAGATGGCCTGGAAGGGCTATAATCTGCTTCTGGTCCTCACGGTTAGGTTTTTTTTCTCCGATTACTCTCCTGGTGGCCTGGTTGGTAGAGTGCCTTGCCAAATACTTTGGTTCTGTTCAGTTTTACCAGTTCTCTCGGTAACAATCCTTTATGTAATACTGTCAAAGATCTGTGCTATCTCTCTACTCAGGTCTTGCCAAGCATGTTCTATCATCCTTTCTGGTTCTCTGGATTTACAATGATCTGGAAACTTATTTGTATAACTCATATATCACACAAATGTCCCATGATTTCCCAATCCTGTTGGTGCCACCAGAGTTACAGAGATCTCGTTTTAACCATTAATCGGATGGCAGTAACGTCATACAGGTAGAATTATTCAAAATTCATCACTAGTAGGTTTCAAACCCTACCTAGCCAACAAGTTGCTTGGAGGTACAACAACTTAACCACTTCATTAAGTCGCCATACCTTCTTAATTATTCTTGATACTTACTAATATTGATATAAGGGAGATATGCCT